AGGGTCAAGCTCGTAATCGAATAAAGAGTTATTCGAATCACAAAGAGTTGTGGGCCGACGGCTAGTTTATACATGAACCATTAAGAATCACACTTCTTGTGGAGATGATTCCTTAATAAGGAGAATTAAGATTAATTTGTTAATCTTAGTTAAATTGGAATTCAATATGATTGAATTAAAATTCGTAATAGTCAATTATGAATTGGAAGAAAACGAATAACACAATTTTATAGATTTAAAGTGTTTTTTTCTAAATTGGAAATTTTATGGATTTCAAGTAAACCCCGGCGTGTCACCTAGTGTTTTCCATCTATTTTGTAGATTAACGGGCGGATCAATCCCATCGACTACCTCATGGCACGTGCCAGTGACCTTCGGCATTCTCTATCATTGGGGGATCGAATACTCTTGGGTTGCCCAATCCACATTTGGTTAGCATCAGTAAGGTTGAACGTGAGTCGGGTCGGGTAATTATCGGCCAATTACCTATTTGACTCGACCACCCAATTTTGCTGAATATTAAAACTCATTATCGGCCCGAGCATTATGGGTCGGATAATGCTTGGCAACCGACTTTGTCGGACAAACAATGGGTCGGTTGGAGCCTGGAGGTATTATCGGTAGGGCTGGGTTCGGGTTGGTTTTTATCCACCAACCGATCCATTACCGACTATATTTTTAAGCGGATAATATTTTTTTAACCAACCCATTGGATCGGGTCGAAAATTTCAACCAACCCATCTATAATGGGTCGGATGGTGGTTTCTAATATTATCAAAAGTTGGTTGACTGATAATTATCAGTCAACCAACTATATTATTAAAAATTATAAAATAAAGGGTGTGTTCCTTAATTACTTCAAATTTCTAACCTTTTGGTTCATTTTGAAGTTCATTTTGAAGTTCATGCGTTCGTTATAGTTCAGGTAGGTAAAATCTATAATCTATGTAATCTATGTAATCTATATAATCTATATCTTATATCTTCTTATTAATAAAAGTAAGGTTGCTCCTGCTAAACCCTAGGAAATTTTTCCCGCTCCTTTGATAGTTATAATTTTTATTTATTTATTTAATTATATATTTTTATTATTTAATTTCATTTAATATAATCAAGGTTAATAAATCTACTAAGAATCCAGATTTTTTGACCCTAGATCCACGTAACTTATTAATAAAAGTAAGATTGCTCATGCTAAACTCTATGAATTTTTTCCCGCTCATTTAATAGGTATAATTTTCATTTATTTATTTGATTATTTATTTTAATTATTTATTTTTATTTAAGATCTTATTAATAAAGTAAGGTTGTTCCGGCTAAACCCTAGGAAAATTTTTCCTGCTCATTTGATAATTATAATTTTCATCTATTAATAATAAGATTTTATTGTTTTATTATATTATTATAATCAAGTTTAATAAAGTCGTTAAGTATCTAGACTTTATGACCCCAAATCTACGTATCTTTTCTCACTAAAATTGTCATTTTACTTGATATTAATTTGATGGAAAAAATATTTAATTGTTTAGATAAACATTTGGTTCTTATCTTATTAATAAAAGTAATATTTTTCCACTAAAATTGTTATTTTACTTAATATTAATTTGATGGGAAAAATATTTAATTGTTTAGAAAAACATTTGGTTCTTATATCTTATTAATAAAAGTAAGGTGGCTCCTGCTAAACCATAGGAAATTTTTCCCGCTCACTTGATAGTTATAATTTTTATTTATTTATTTAATTATGTACTTTTATTATTTATTTTCATTTAATATCTTATTAATAAAAGTAAGATTTTCCCACTAAAATTGTCATTTTACTTAATATTAATTTGATGGGAAAATTATTTAATTGTTTAGAAAAACATCTGGTTGTTATCTTATTAATAAAAGTAAAGTTGCTCTCTTATTAATAAAGGTAAGGTAGCTCCTGCTAAACCATATGAAATTTTTCCAGTTCATTTGATAGTTATAAATTATAATTGTCATTTATTATTAATTAATTAATTTTATTGTTTTATTATATTTAATATAATCAAGTTTAATAAATCCGTTAAGTATTCAAACTTTTTTGCCCCAAATTTACGGGTTTTTTTACACAAAAATTGTCATTTTTACTTAATATTAATTTGATGGAAAAATTAGTTAATTGTTTAGAAAAATATTTGGTTCTTATCTTATTAATAAAAGTAAACTTGCTCCTTATAAACTCTTGAGATTAAATGACATCATTGATTTACAGTAAATTTACTGAAGCCTGTTATAGATGATAAAGAAGAAGATTCGTCAAACTTTAACATTAACTGAGATAAGATAAATATACAACCATATTACATCAAAAATATAAAGTTAAATTAATAAATATGACAAAAAAGTTTATGGATGGGGATTAGCATCAATATGTATAGCAAAATATCAAAATTAATTGAAACTTCAATTTTGTCGTTTAAATTGAACTTTACTTTATATTAATTTTACTTCAACCCCGTGCATCGCACGGGCCAAAACTCTAGTATAAAAGAAAGAAACGCTGGACAACCCTAAAAAACCCTATTGGTATTTCTGTAATTATTTATTTTTAATATTTTTCTATACTAATTTCTAACTATAATTTTTAACAATTATCAAAATTGAAATTAAACCGTGAAGAATCCTATCCTAATGGTACTTCAATAGTTATTTATTTTTAATTTTTTTTCTCTACTAATTTTCTAATTATAATTTTGAACAATTATCAATCTCCTATTTTCATCAACATATCTCAAATATTAAGAGATAAAGATAGAAATTCGATTTGTTAATTCTATTTGGATTATAAATCTTAATATGTAAGATTTAAAAAAACTAATGTTATATAAAATATGAATAATATTACATTATTAAATTTTACTATTTTAGTGTACAATATTTTCTTATTATGTATTAAATTGATTATTTTTTTTCACTTTTAAAATAAGATCCCGTGCATCGCACGGGTAAAAAATGCTAGTAATATATAAAGGGAGAATACACAATCAATGTTTTTAAGTCTTCATTTTGATCCTACGTTTTTTGACTTCTTTCTTTAATTATCTTTTTCATTTAATTAAGAGAAATAGATAGAAACAAATATTTTTCCAATGTTTATTAATTTACCTTATACTCCCTCCGTTCCCTATTAAGTGTCGTTTTTGGCTTTGCACAAAGATTAAGAAGCTCAATAAATGTGTCTTGATTTTAGGTAAAATATATTAGAAAGACTAAAATAACCTTGATTATTTAATGATATGATAAGAGAGAGTTAATACTTAGTTGAATTAATAAGGTTAAAATAGGAAAAAATGAATTTAATGCAGTATTGGAAAGCTAAAGTGACAGATAATATGGAACAAAAATATTTTTAAAAAGAGACAGTTATTGTGGAACAGAGGGAGTATCATATACCGGATTGTCATAAAATATTTATGGTAATCAATTAATGACATTATTTAATTGCAATTTACCTTACCATTTTTGAATTTTATAATGCATTTCTTCAATTGAAATTTTAGATCCATACAATCCGTTCATATTTTAATTTTTCTATCTATAGTGACATTCTTATTTTACGGATTAATATACAATCAATTAGGACCGGCAATTGAGTCGGGCCTACCCGAAGTCCGATGGCTCGGTCCGATTTTTTTTTAGCCAAGCTCGATTAATTGTGAGTCGAGTTTGAGCTTACCATGGCTCAACCCGAATAAAGTCCGACTAAATTATATATATATATATATATACAGTGGCGGTACCAGGGGGGGCAGGGGGGGGGGCCGTTGACCCCCCAAGAAAAAAAAAAAATTTTTTTTTAGCTATTTTGACCTAATATTTTTTGAATATTACTTTTGGCCCCCCCAAAGATTTTGTAAATATGTGTCTTAATCTTAAATTTTTTGTTTATTCTCAGTAATTTTATATAAATTATAGATATATATGATATTATAGATATGTGTCGTAATTTTTTTCGCAGTATAAACCTATTTTTTCAATGTTTTGCGAACCTAAAAATTTTTTCGGGGCGTGGCCCCGAACCCCGAAATTTTAGTCAACCCCCCTACTTTCTAATCCTGGTTCCGCCCCTATTTATATATATATATATATATTGTAACATCAGATAGCTTCAAAACCTCATTGAAATCCAGTGGTGTTCTGGTGTCAATTGTGGTGGGGTGACTTCTGATGGCGGTGATGGTCGGCAATGAGGCGGACAGTGGTGAAGAAGATAAAGATAAAAAAGAAAGAAAAAAAATAAGTGGGAAGTGATCGAATGGCTCAGATCAATTCCGTAAAATAAAATAAAAAAGAGAAAGAAAAAAAAATTAAAATACGGTGTGGTTTTGCCGTAATTTTGGCAAATTGTGGGACGCACGTGACAAATTTCTGTTAATTGCCAACATATGTGAAACGGTGTGGAACAAATGTGTCTAAATGTGGTAAATTTAATGTGTATTTTGTCCAACTCGTAACATGGGGACCGAAAGTGGAATCGAGCCAAACTTGGGGGACGAAAAGTGTAATTATTCCCCAATATGCACAAAATTGAAGACAAAATATTACTCCCTCCGTTCCATTTTAATTGTCGTTTTTTAGCTTTGCACAAAGATTAAGAATTTTATTAAATGTATCTTGATTTTAGGAAAATGTATGCTTTTAGACTAAATGACCTTGTCTTATAATTAATAAGAGAGAAATTAGTTGAAAAAAGAATATTGGAAAGAGTTAATAAGGGTATAAACTGGAAATTAAGTAATTAATGATGTGTTAGAAATTTAAAGTGACAGATAAAATGGAACAAAAAAAATTCTCCAAAGCGACAGATATTATGGAAAGGGGGGAGTATTGAGTTAAAGTTCAAAAAACATTGATATCCAAATACATGTTTTTAAGGTATTATTATTTCTCTAACATAATTAATATCCTTCGTCCTTTTTCATTAAGAACTTTTATTAATAATCTTTAATACACTTTCTTGTTCATGACTTTTATGAAGAATCGAGACTACGCAGAATCAACGGTGCACCGTACTGTGGTTGAATAGTAAGAATGGGGAAAGGGGCATGTAAATACGAAGGTGACAACTCCATTGAGAAGCTCTTTAAAATAATGGCTAGACCCATTTTTGCTTGAATCATCCCAAAGTTTTGTCCAATGCAAACACGAGGGCCTGAACTGAACGGTATGAAGGCCAATTGCGTCTTTGCAACTTTGGAATAACCTTTTGAGAATCTATGAGGATTGAACTCGTTTGCATCGTCTCCCCAAATTGTGGGGTCACGATGAAGTAGGCCTAATAGAATTGTCATATGTACCCCCGATGGAATAGTCATTTTTCCTAGTTTCACCGTCTCTGTAGGGCCTCGGACCGTCATAGGTACCGGTGTGTACAACCTTAGTACTTCTTGCAGAATCATGGTCACCTGCAAAATTTATTATAAGAATTATTGTTTTAAGTCGAATACGATGTAGAGTGAAATTTTTTCTTCCAGCGTTGGTTTTCTTTTTGAAATTGTACTTTTCAATGTTTTGAAAATCGGACCGGACATTGACCCAAACAATTTATTGGGTCGCGATTGGACCATTTCAATCGGGGTTTAACTAGGTGTTTTATTTATTTATAATGATTTAATTTTAATTTTTGTAGTAAATAAAATCTACTTTCTTTTACACTCATTAACTCATACTCCCCTACAACTGAAACGTAAATCAAGCTTATTTTTCTTTGGCACACACAACATATCGACACGCATATATCACAACTCAATCACTTCAAATATTATATAAATTATAATCTAACATAATATGTTTTCCAATTTCAAAGTTTTTTATTTTGATTAGATTTTATTTTCAACTAGGCAATAAAAAGACGTCGTTTAGCATTTTATTTGTTTTTTTAACATAAAAAAATGCAACATTTTGGGCTAAAAAACTCGATTTTTAGTTGGGTTATGATTTTACGGTTTAACTAGCCAAACCGAACCGAGCAAGAAAATGTTTCGCGGTTCAACCCACATCCGGTGCAGTCCGGGTTTCAAAACATTGTTTTTCAACAATTATAAATCTAATGCAGTACATTTACCCAGAATCATGCAATCATGGACTCATCAATATAGTCATTTGCAAATTTCAACCAAATAATTTAAAAAAAAAAAAAAAAAATCAAGAAATCTTACAATTTTGAGGTCATTTAAGCCTTCAAAACTTGGTTCCGAATTTCCGAAAACTCGATTGACTTCTTCTCGTGCTTGCGTTTGCCATACGGGATGCTTGCATAGCAAAACGATAGTCCAAACGAGCAAACTAGCGGTCGTCTCCGAACCGACTAAGTAAAATAGCTCGCACTCCTCAATTACATCTTCAATACTCATCCCCTTATTCTTATTTCCATCTTCTTCGGTGAATCTTGAATTCGATTCCATTAATATACCTAATAAGTCATCACCACCCATGGCTTCTCCCCTATCCATAGCCTTCTGCCTTTTCTCGATTATACCTTTTAACAACGATTGAATTTCTTGATTCAATGCTTTTATTTTCCTATTTACTTTCGTCGGAAGATATCTGCAAAAACAAAATCAATTTCAATAATACAGTAGAACCTCAATAAATTAATAACCCCGTTTAAATGATAATTTTTTTATGTCCCGACTCGGTGAAAACGTAATAAATTATTAGTTCGACAATTTAATATTTCGCTAATTTAATAAATAAAAAATCCCAGTCCCGACGGTATTAATGTATAAGGAAATGATCAATTTGAAAATAGTATAAAACTAGACTAACTTTTAATTTGTTTTATGATTACCTCCAACCGGGGATAAATAAGAACTGCATTATTTGCACGGTGAGCTTAAGTCGTTCGGCTTGGAGATGAAATATCTCCGTCCCTTGTTCGTGGCTGCTTCCGAATGCCGTACGTGAAATCATGTCGCCCGTTAAATCTTCCAGCCATGGCCACATATCGATTTCGCACCACCCCTCATCATTTATTATTGCTTTTAATTTTTCTACCATTTTTGAACAACTTTGACCAATTGCTGGAACCATATTCTGCACGTAAAATTTGCATTTCATATTTCACAAACTTGTCGCGAAAGTTGATATAAAATTGTAATTTTGGTCCTCTATGTTAGTCTATTTAGAGATTTAGTCCTCTAAGTTATCCTGTTTCAATTTCACATGTAATAATTTTGCAAAAGTAGCATTTTTGGTCCTCTCTTAACTGCTTGAACTCAAATTTTACCATATGGCAAACGAATTTTACACTTTTAAAAATTATAATCTCGTCATTTAACTTAGTTTTTTTTATAGAATTTTTACAGTGCGAGATGACAAGTATATAAACCAAGTCAGAGGCCTATTTATAATTTATAAATATTCATATAACTAAATTATGATGAGGTTGTAAGCCACATAATTCTTCCAAGAGTAAAACTAAAATTTCAAGCAAAATAGGACCAAAAATGCTAAATTTGTAAAGTTATTGCATGTAGAATTGAAATAGGACTATATATATATATATATATATATATATATATATATATATATATAAAGAGAGAGAGTGGGAAAATGTAATACAATTTACCTTGAGCTTATCTACATTGAAAGCAGGATTGATAATCTTTCTATGGTTAGCCCATTTTTCGCCCTCGTGTAGCAAAAGCCCGCCCGTTAAAATCTTGCCCGTTTTCGGAACGGGCTTCTGAAAAATATCCGGTTTCCTTAATATCTCCTTTATTAGCTCCGGATCCGTAATATTCAGCCTCGGCCAAGGACCGAACCACACGAACGAATTTTCACCTGAAATAGCAACATATTATATTATATGATCAACTATATATAGAAATATGATTAATTTAACAGCTGTTAATCATATTTCGTACCGTACTTGTTGATGATCTCATGGTAATACGTGAATATGTGCGGTATAATATCATCGGAAAGTTTGATTGTTCGTCTTTGTTCTGATTTAACAGCCGTCACGTAATCCTTGAGGTCTCCGAGAAACGGTCTGTAGGGTTTCCCATTCAGACCTTGCTCCCTTAGAAATTTCTCGAGCTTTCGCGGCCTAAACCAAACCCAATTTAGTAATTTCACTGCCCATGTTACCGATGCAGCTACAAGAATAGAAGTTAGTATCAAACTAAATGCTGCATCCATTTTATTTTCCAAGGCCAAACTCATGAATTGTAATATATATATAGAGATAAGAGAGGAGGGGCAAGGCATGTTTTGTATTAATTACGTTATTACTTAAATAAATTAATACAGTCGTGCAGTCAGGACCAGCAAAACTCTATTACTTTAGCGAAATATTAGATTATCGAACGAATAATTTAATACGTTTTTCATTGAGTCGAGACCATGATAAATTATTATTTAAGCGAGATTATTAATTTATCGATGTTCTACTGTAATAATACGTGAGTTGAAAAAAAGGACATTAAATTCTTTTATTTTCTTAACCGGATTTCAAGGTTTATGTTTAGTGAAAAGATCAATAACTCACCACAATATGCACATGTACACATAAAGCAATATTATTACAAGAGGTCAAACAAAGAAATGGCTGACATTATAAAAAATTAAATCAAATCAATTTTTTTTTTTTTTTTTTTTTTTTTTTTTTGTAAAGGTTGCCTGTAATATGTAGTCTATTGTTCAAATATAGGGTTGGCATTGGTAGGAATATCGAAGTTTATGATCATTATATTATACCAAGCTTAGTAAATTATGGTAGTTGAATTTTCATATATATGGTATACCGTTATTTGGTACCGTTACGTTTGGTACGAAATCGTGGTAAGTGGTATTCTATTATTATCTTATATTAGATTCAAATTTTGAAAAAAATTCTTGTCATTTTTCTCCACCAATGAATTTTGTAACATTTAAATGTATTCCATATGTTTATTGAGCTAAACATATTTATACATAAAAGGAGTTAAGACCCTAATCAACTCTAATGGCATCTTTGTAATTATTTTTGTTTTTATTTTTTTCTCTGTTTTCATTTTTTTTTTCTTTCTTATCTCAATGGACCGGCGCTTTCTTTGTTATATTCCGTTTTCATTGTTAATGCCATCGTTGTTAAAAAAAATATATGTTTTTTTCTTTTTTGATCTACTTCTAATCATTTTTTTTCTTTGTTATCTAAATGGAACGGTTTTCCGCTTTCTTTGTTAACGACATCTCTGCAAATTATTTTATTTTTATGATTTCTTTATTTATTAATTGCTTAATTTATTTAGCGATCAATTTCATTTTATGAATAATTAAGTTTATATAATCTTTTGTCGAGTGGGTTTGTAGTATCAGATTCGTATGAATATTGATAGTGTTACAATTATTTAAATATCACAAATAAATTTTATTACAATAGTGCAATATTTTTATTATGGTTGTTATTGACATGCATTAAATTTTAAAAAAAAATTGAAAATTCTAATATGTGCATTGCAGGGGGAAATACTAGTTGCACAATAATTTTATGATCCCACCTAGCGCAAATTTTTTATTCTTATGTATATTTATTTGAAAAAAAAAAATTAAGATAACTTGCACGTAATAATTCAAAGTATTAGAAATACAAAAGTTAAAATAAAATTCCAAATATTATGTTACCAAAAGGAAGTGAAAAATAAAAAAAATATATAACAAAATACACTATAAAAGAAGTATTTGATTCTTGTAAAAATTGTTTTGCCCTTGAATCCTTCTTGTTACGTAATTTATAATTAGGCTACGCTATAACACTTGTCATAATAAAACTTGGATCTATCCCACTTACAAACGTGACCCGCTAATCTACTATGCACAAAATAGGTAGCATTTGCAAAAGCTTTTACAAACATATTATGAACTTTTTTTGCTTATAATCTATTTTTAAGTGTTTGCAAAATGAATTTTTACTTTTGTTTCTCTTAAAATAAATAACTTTAAGCTATAATTTGTTAAGCACCCATGATTCTGTTTTTCCTATTTAAGTTTATTTTACAGTAAATTTGAACACGCTCCTAACTTTTAAAAATAAGCATTTAAAACAAACTTAACTTGCAATCCATAACTTCTGCTTAATTTTAAATGGATTATCAAACACATAAATTACATTCCTCAAATTGAGTTATTGAAAAAATAACCACCTAAATGTCCAATCACAATTTGACATGTGACTGTTACAAATAGAACCGTCAAAAAACTTTCAATTACAGTTACAATTCATATGATATTCGAAGATAATATATCAATACTGATTTAAAATTCATCCACTCCAACTATGGTTATAAAATTAATTATCAAATAGAATTTTATGAGTGATTTTATATATAACTGCCAAATGTCAACTTGTGGTTGGATCTTAATGTGGTTACTTTCTCAGTAACTCAATTTTCAGCGAGTATATATATTTACATCTCAAGAAGTGAATTATCAAAACAGAACCCTCATTTGATAACTTCATTAGAGTTAAAAATTTCATTTTTTAAAATGCGTAAATGGTGGTTAAAAATTTTGAATACCCTGATTGAGGACTCAGTTAGAGTTGTTGGTTTGAGTAGATGAATTTTAAATAAATATTGAAATATCAAATCCGTATTTAACAACTGAGTTTATATAATTTACCATTAGAGTTAGCTTATATAAATTCTAGGATTTTCGCAAATATGCATGTATCAGTTTCATAATTGTATTTATTGAAATCTAAGTCAGCTGCAATTAATTAATAGCGATCTAATTAAATGGTATTTATTTTCCGGCTAAGAGTCTCCGATCATAAAATTTAGGTCGGTGGAAGTAAGGATTGAATTTGGTAGGGCTAAGTTGTCAAAGTTCCGGTATAAAAAAAGTCAATGCATTAGTTGTCACACTATTTATATTATGAGAAAAATTAATATATTATAGGTTTAATCCCACTTTGCACTCTTGAAATAAATGAAGCCTTTTGGCAGTTTGTATCCTTGAAAAATGATAATAGCACTTTACACCCTCAAAATATAATAATTCATTCACAAGGAACCCTTAATTGAATAATAAAGAATAATTCATTTTTTATTGGTTTTCTTTTCGGGATGCAAAATAACAAATTAAACTGTTATTTTCTTCAACCCTCCAACCTAATTTCGAGCGCAGAAAGTGCGGAAAAATAAAAGTAACACCGGATAATTGAAAAAAATTATAATTTCTTACAAAATTAAACCAAATAAACTTTTATCACTAAATTATTCGATTGATAGATTTTTTATTGTACTTGGTGGAAATATTAGGTAGAAATATTTGGAAGAAAATATGATTTTCAGATAACTTGATAACGAATTAGCCGAAGGGTTTTTTTTCGTAAAATATTTTTTTGTGATAAAAAATATAATTTTTAAATACCACTAACAATATTAAACTACCTTATTAGCTTTAAAAACTCATGTGGGGTGTAATATATTATGTTTCGAGGGTGCAAGTGCTATTAATTTGTTTCGAGGGTGCAAAGTGTCAGAATGATATATTTCAAGGGTGTAAAGTGGGATTATACAAATATTATAATTAGAGGGTAAATTTCACTTATACGCCTGAAGTATGCTAAAATAACTTTAAGGTCCATATAGTATCAGCAATTACAACGACCCCCCTGAAACATTGTTATAAACATGGTTCCCCCAACATATCTTAAATCCTCATTATTTTATATTATATTTATAAATTTTCGTCTAGGTAGCATTAACGGCCCTGCGGAAAACAAATATAGTGCGTATTGGTCTCCATGATATGAAATCTTGTCTCCGATAATTGTTTTAGGGGTGTGACTGTAATTACCAATACCACATGTACCTTAAAGTTATTCTAGCATACCTCAGGAGTGTAAGAGTAATTCACCCTATAATTAAATTATTAGCAAAGATGGACCGTTATAATAGAACTTATTAGCTACTAATGTTAGTTTGTGGTCCATGCTTCAATAATAGAACTATTAGCTACTAATGTTAGCAAAGATATACCTCTACAATATGCATAATTAAAACTTCAAAGTAATTCATGCTTCAAACCATCATTTTTTTTTTATAAAACACATAAAGCTTTCTTTATACGTATAAATTATAATACAAAAAATATATATTATATTTATTCAATAATAGAAAAAACGCAATAGGGTAATATCATGGTTATTATCGGATGCCATTACGCTACAAAATAAAATCGGAATGGTATCGTAGGGCACCACATTATACCGTTCGTTAGAAAATTGGTAAGGCATGATAGGGCAATCAGTTGGTCGTGGCAAAAGAAAAGTTCACCCTCGTATAGAGGCACATTTTCTTTTTTGTCCTTGTTTTTGTACCCAGCGTTCGTGTTTCTTCGGAAAACGTTCATCCGTAAAGTGTCGGGCACATGATTTTTATATGTGCGAGCTAAATATACACTAAAATTTTGTTCAGTAACAAATAAGTTCAATCGATTAAATAGTATGAATTAGTAAAATTTTGGTTGACAAATTTTGTTCGTCTCAAATCCGGCCTAGCCCACTACCCAACCCTCTCGGCCAGGCCCGGCCCGTGTATCCCGCCCGCACCTAGCTCGCAGCCCAAGCCCGCCCACCCCACGAACTCCCTCTTGTCTCAATTTTTCCTGTTTTAATTTAATTTATTACAAAAACACAAAAAAAAAAAAAAAGTGTAAAATACCAATGATAGCCAATAATATGGCTATCCTTATATAAATGAAGAATATTTTGTACCATCAATTGGTTTTCGTCTATGATGCACGGAAATTTCAACCCACACACATTTTCACATTTCGGAAATTTTCGGAAACCGAAACCCCATGACACCTGTCGGAAACGTTTCGGGGTCATTTCTGATAATAATTAAAAATTGGAAAGGTGTTTCCACAAAAACTAAATCCAAATTTCAAGCTTAAAAACTTCGAATTGCATACTCTTAAAAAAAATCTTAAATATTATGTCTCCTTTTCACTTCTAGTGGTGTTTTAATATTTTTGTAGATGTTAATTACATACTAAAATAAATTTATAAGCCCCAAATGTAATTTGTGGAATGATATTAAACATTATAATATTTTTTTAGAAATTATTAATGCACCCCTATATTTTTATTATTTACGCGTTTCCCCACATTCCCGTATCCAACTTTTTGGAATGTGTCCGTTTCCCTGTTTCCCGTGTCCACGTTCCCGTGTCCGTGCAACATAGGTTTTAGCGTACCAACCAATCCGCTCTGATACCTTGTTACGTTAATTTAGGTAAAACTTATCGTAACCGATCCTACAAAATATTTTCAAGGAGAGTAGTAATTAAGTGAGGGGAAGACTGTTGGCATTGTTAATTTACAATAATTGAATATTGTTAATGTACTATAATTAATCACATTTTTTTTATTGTCAAATAATTTTGTAGCTGATAATCTAACTTCTAATTAAGGGTGGGCAGGTTGGGCCATGAACTATTAAAAATCGCTGAATATTTGTTTTGAAAAATTCAAACTGGAGATTTAAAATGGCTAATTATTTTGTAATTATCGTAATTCTTCTCTCCTAGGGCTGAGAAGTTTTTTCTTGAATCTAATAAATATAAACATCTCGAAGTCAAATATGGAATCTAATAAATATAAACATCTTGAAGTCAAATATGTTATAAATTCGAGGTGGAGGTCTGGGATTTGGACATGAGAGCTCGATATGTGTCTACGTGAGTCTGGTTTTTACGTATAGCCAAGACCTTCTTTTATAGGCACGAGCTAGGGTTTCAGTTTGCAGCATGGGCCGGTGGATTTATTGGGTTAGATTTGAGTCCAATTAAGTAATCCATAAAATATGAATTTATTACTTATTTATGGATTAGCCTCATTTGTAAACCCAAATATGTTATGAACTTGGATTAGAAACTCAAATTAATGACTGAATAATGTATTAATAGGTGATTTATCCCAAACTTTTGATGTCAACATATAGTTTGGACACAAAATGGACAACTTAGACGAATATAACATTGTTCCAGTGATGTTGTGGCGGAAATTAGACGGTGGGCGGCATAGGACTAGTAGGGAGAGGCGGAATAGTCGAAGAAATATCATTTGTTTTAGTGGATGTGGTTTTAAGGATGGATGAGTTAGAGGATAATAAAGTATTTTCAGTTAAAAATAGTTATTTTATATCTAAGTGCTCTAACTAAGTTGTCCGATGGACTTTTAGCAAAATACGAAAATATAACTATCCTGATCTAAAAGGATATTAATGTTCAGGAATATTGTTAGGCAAAATCCTTCATTCTACTCAATCCAAGGAATTAAATAAATTTTTTTTATTAGGTTGACCAAATCTTATTATATTTTCAACAGTATTTGTTCCATGTGCAGTTGTTTGTATTTAAATTGATTAGAGAATTTAGGAAAGGATCTCAAGAACTAGTTGAATAGTTAAATACTACTTGACAACCTCTTGCCTAATGGGATTAAAATATTTATTTTGTTTAGATTGTTCGTCATTCGCAGAACCGCTGGTTTGGAACCGGGACCGCCTATACACGATTCGGAGGCGTTTCTATAACCGTTAGTTTGGGTTCCGGTGAGAACCGGCAGTTAACCGATTTTTGATTTTTTTTTCTTTTTATTAAAATTATTTTAATTACTTAAAAACAATATTTGTATTTCTAAAACCGGGACAAAATGCACTTTTCCCCCTACAAATTGAAAAATAGATTCTTCCCCTTCAAAGTTTTGTTGCATTTGCATGCACTTTTCACCGAATTACAATTTTCATGGGAATTGACATGAATTTGTCCAATTGAAGGGCATTTGTGTCATTTGAGGGACGGATCACCATAATAGCTGCTAATTGAGGAGGAAATTGAAGATTCTCACAATTTTGAGACCTCAAAAGGAACAATTTGTTTTGGGAGAAAAAAACCTTCATTTGTTTCCTGGCATTAGTGAAATGGGTTGTGTTTTTCGTTTATTAGAAAAAATAAGGATATTAGGATGTTGATGGGAATAATGAAATGACTCAAATGCTCTTGAAATGGAATTCCGATGAAAAATATGCTGGAAATTGTGATTTTGGGGCAAAGTCCAACTACAACAAAATTTTGAAGGGGAGTCTATTTTATTAATTTATAGGGGGGAAAGTGCGAACATTGAAAATTTCTAGGGGTTGAAATACATTTTGTACTAAAAACTTTTAGCAAATTAGTTATACTTTGAAAAACTTAAAAAAGAGAAGGAATAAAACTTAAAGGGCTTGAATTTAATTTCAAAATTTTAAGTAAATTTAAAGAATTATTACCATTGGCTATTTCTTATTTATTTACTTTTTGTTCTTTTCTTTTCTGAAAATTCTGACCTGTGGGCATTTTATAATTAACGTTTTCTTTTTTAAATGGTTGGAACTGCCGGTTTTGCAGTTCCAATATACAGGAACCGGAACGGGAACCGGAACGGTCTTTTTCAGGTCCGGTTAGCGTTGACCGGTTCCAGACCGTTAACCCAGTTTGATTCTAACTGGACCGGTGGCCATGTCTACATCCAATACTCATTCGATGTATGTAATTTCATTTGAGTTAGTCGAGTAGTTCATATTTTCGAGATCCGAATTACATTAAAACATAATGATTCATACACAAGTACAACTAAACAATGAACATAACCTAACCATCATTTTATTTCGGTGGAGAAATAATTTCACGAAAGATTAGAAACAACATGGTTTATTATAATGGTTCGAGACTACGCAAAATCATTGGAGCACCGTATTGTGGTTGAAGAGTGATAACCGCGAAAGGAGCATGCAAGTAAGATGGGGAAAGCTCGAACGAGAAGTGCTTTAGAATCATTGCTAGAGCCATTTTTGCTTCGATCATCGCAAACGTGTGACCAAGGCAAATCCGAGGCCCTGAGCTGAAAGGTAAAAACGACGATTGGATCTTCGTTGCGTTGGAAACCCCTTCGGAGAATCTCTTCGGATTGAACTCCTTTGCATCGTCTCCCCAAATATCGGGATCACAATGGACTTGGCTTATTAGCAATGACAAATGTACCCCTAATGGAATAGTCATGTTTCCTAGTTTCACCGTCTCCGTAGGGGCTCGTACCGTTAGAGGTGCCGGTGAGTACAACCTTAGGACTTCTTGCAGAATCATCGTCACCTGTTTTTTCAATATGTAGTTACGTATAGAATGTTAATGTATGAAAGCCAATGAAATAAAAAGGGTTTATTGCATTTAACTCCTCCGTATTTTCTCTAATTGCACTGTTGAAAAATTCCCCATGTTATTTTATTAGCAAAAACTCCCCTATAATTCATTTTTTTTCAAAACGCCCACATAAAAACTAACTTTAAAAATGTTTTATGAGGGAGTTTTTGCTATTATTCATAACATGAGGGGTTTTTTAGCAATTTGATACAATATAGGGTTACTAAATGCAATAAACTTGGGAAAAAAAAAGAGAGGATATATAATCTTACAGTTTTGAGGTGACTTAATCCTAGGAAATTCGGCTCTGAATTCCCGAAAACTCGCATAACCTCTTCTCTAGCTTGAGTTTGCCATTCAGGGTGTTTGCATAGCAACACCATAGTCCACACGAGCAAACCCGAAGTTGTCTCAGACCCCGCGAAATAGAATAGCTTGCACTCCTCAATTACTTCTTCAATACTCATGCCCTCATTCGCATTGCCCTCTTCCCGAGTGAACCGTGCATTTGATTCCATCATGAGACCTAATAAGTCATCACCGAAGAAAACACCATTTTCTCCTGTTTTGGTGGCGGACTTGTGCCTTTTCTCGATTATACATCTTAGTATGGATTGTATCTCGTTCGAGATTGCTTTCACTTTTCTGTTCACTTTCGTCGGGACATGCCTATGAAACAAAATTATTTCAATACTTGGCCTATAATCCGATTTTTTTTCCAGACAAGCATCACTAGGAGTTTATTGCATTTAGTACTCTGTGTTACATCGAATTGTTAAATAAAATTTGCGTTATTATTATATTAGAAAAAAACCTCTATGTATGATGCATTTTTAATGGAGGAGAAACTTTCATGGAAGAAAAAGACCCAACTCTTTATTTCAATTAATTTCGAATTTGGAGAAGTTTCAAATTTAGTACAATTGAGTCCTTAAAATTTTAAATTTCACCCCCATATGATATCTTCAAATGAAAAGACGAAAAAATCCATGTACTTAGTCATGTGGTTCGTGCGTGCGCCAGAATTTGTGAATATTCGCCTGAATATCCACCTTAGGTGGTTAAGTGTGTCAAAATAACGGATTCGGGTCTGCCCGTGCATTTTTTTTGCTAAAGTGGCAAAGTGCAAAAACGGACAAAGTACAGGTGACAAAATGCTATTAACTCTATTGATAGTACGGGGAGTTCCTTGAAAATTAGAATAAACACAAGGTGCTAAATGCAATAAACCCCTCAACAACTAAAAACAACATAGGAAAAAACATGGTTGTTTACTGTTTTACCTCCATCCAGGGATGAAAGAGAACTGCAATAACGGTAGGGTTAGCTTAACTCTTTCTTTCTGAAGCTGAAATATCTTCCTTCCTTCTTCATAACTACTACCAAAAGCTGTCCGCGAAATCATATCTCCCGTCAAGTCATCGATATACGGCCACATGTCAATTTCGAAACCGCCTTCATTTCGACTCGAAACTATTTCTTTCAACTTTTGTACCATATTCGAACAGCTTAATCCAATTGCCGGTACCATATTCTGTAAAATTCAAATTTGAAAAGTCACTTTAAAAAAATGTGAGTGAAGGCAATATCTGGCTACGTTTTCATCTCACTTTAATTTGTTCTTTCCCGGAAACGAATTCGTGTTTGTTAAGGTTTCCAAAAAACAAAATTCCCAAAACCACTTGTAAAGTTTATCTTTCCTTCAGACATGATGTGACTGCTAGAGTTAAAATATTTGACTGCTACCCTAAAAATTGGCTTCATTAAAAAAACAAGCAAGCGTCACTTTAGTTTTCAAATTCATCTTCTGCAGTACATTTGCCTAACACATTTAAACATAATTTCACCGCTACAGTATATTTTTTCTAATTTTAAATTATAAACACACATTACTATAATTCTAATTATTCTCTCAAACATATTTTCCCAAAATAAAATAAAAATAACTCCCAGAACGTATCCAACCATTGCTAAAATGTGATGGATGTATATATATATATATATATACTTGTTTTAATTGAAAAAATATAGTTAATTATTACCTTCAATTTCTCAAGATGGAAAGCAGGAGTGACAATCTTTCTGTGTTTCGACCATTTATCGCCCTCGAGTAATAGCATACCTCCGATAAGTATCTTGGCTGTTTCCGGAAGGGGCTTGTGAAATATATCAGGTTTGCTTAGTATCTCCTTTATTAGCTCTGGATCACTTACATTTAATCTTGGCCATGGACCAAACCATATGAAAGAATTCTCACCTGATAGTACACATATTAAGTGCAATCATGTTATGAAGTAGCTATTTTGGGGTCTAAAACGAATAATAAATGGGTGACTTTTAAAAAAAAAATTCAAAAAATAGTGAAATTACTATAATACCCCTGTTGAACTATAAAAATTGTGGGGCCTTGTTATTCAGTGGGACACTAAGGCAATGTTTGGAATCGTTTTGGGAGTTATTTTCATTTTATTTTGGGAAATATGTTTTGAGCGAGGGAATAATTTGAGAATAAAAATAATGTTTGTTTATAATTTGAAAGGTAACTAAATACAGTGTAGCGGTCAAATAATGTTTAAATGTGTTTGAAAATGGTATTTTATAAGAAGAATTTGAAAAATAAAGTGATGTTTGTTTGTTTGTTTGTTTGTTTTTCAGTATAATAATCATTTTTTTTTACTGTAACAGTCAAATCATGTATGAAGGAGAGATAAGCTTTTGAAATTGTTGAGGGAATTTTTTTAAAAACTTAACAAACACAAATTCGTATCGGGAAAAAATAAAAATGAAATGGAAACTTGCTTGAATATAATTGCCTTACATTTAAGTGTCCGTGTTAAGATCAACGGGGAATAATCGTTCTTACCGTACTTGGTGACGATTTGATGGTAATATGCGAAAATGTGGGGCAAGATGTCATCGAACAATTCGATTGTTTTGGGCTGTTCGGCTTTCATGAATTTGATCATGTCTCCTAGGTCTCCGAGAAACGGCCTGTAAGGATTCCCGTTTAGACCTTGCTGCCTTAGAATTTTCTCGAGCTTTCTTGGCCTAAACCAGACCCAATTTAGTAATTTCACTGCCCATGTTATGGATGCAGCTACAACAATGGAGGTGAGAATAATACTCAATGTTATTACAGCCATTTAATCTGTCTTTGTACGAAGTTGCTTCAGAATATGTTGATTTTTATAGGTGGATTATAACAGTGGTGGGAAAAAATATAATATATATTAGCACAAGTTGTTACTTGTTACGTTAGTTGACGCGCTTACAATTTTTTTTTTTTTTTTTTAGTCTTTTGATAATTAAAATGTGCATTAAATTAGGGGTTAATCTAAAAAAGGCCCATGACAAGCGAGCCTCGATGCTACACCCGATTATTATAATTGGGTATGGCTCCAATTGGCAGGTGTCCCATATTATGGTTTAATTGATTTTTTATTATTTAATAATGATTTTTTTGGAAAGTTAACCAGAGCAATAATTTTAATATTTAAATGTTTTTTTTTTTTAGTAAATTCAAGTCCATTACTGGGGAAGTAGGGATCGTATTGGTAAACGCTAGGTAACAAGGTATATTTAAAGATTTTCTGTATCTTTGATTTTAACCATCGTCTTCAATCTTAATTAGAATTGGAGCAACCATTACTGATTCTCTGCAATTGGAGGACTCTTTATACAAATATAGTTGATTTTTGTTTTTTTTAGAAAACCCTCCTTCCAGATGCTGATTAAATAAAAAAAAAAACATTTTGTTCAAATTAAAAAAAACATTTTGTTCCATTTCCATTTTATTTTGGAGAAAGATGTTTTGGGAGAAGAATTTGAAAATTAAATAAAGTTTGTTTGTGTTTTGAGAGGACATAATTTGTACTGTAGCAAGTCAAATCATGTCTGAAAGGTGTTGGGAAAAAATATTTTGGAAGAAGAATTTAAAAGATAAAATGATTTGATTTTGTATTTTAGTGCAGACAATTTTCACTGTAGCGGTCAAATCATGTTTGTTAGAGAGAGAAATATTTGAATTTGTTTTGAAGGAAAGTTTTTGAAAATAGTGTAGAAATATAATTTTCATTTTGGGGAAAGTGTGAAAAGAATTTGAAAACGTTAGCAAACATAGCCCAAACTTTTTTGAAGCTTCCTCTGAAAAAAATTGATGGCTTCTTTCTTACATCCTTTTTTTTCTCTTCGTGTTGAGAACAAGTTTAAAGTCTTGCAGAGACCCAAAATTAATCTAACTTTGAAGTAATATAAATCCATTTTGGAAGAAAAAAAAAAAAAAAAAGAAGAATAAGAAATCCATTTTGTGAATAGAGAAACCAAAAGCGAAAATTGGTCAAGGAAAACAGAAGATAATTATGGAAGGAGAGAAAATTACACGGTGGGTGGGGTTCTGCTGACTTAGAAATTTGAGTAATAAATATATAAATAATAAAAGAATCAATTAAACCGTATTATGGGACACGTGTCACTTTGAGCCACACCCGGTTATAAGAATTGGGTGTAGCATCGAGGCTCCCATGACAAGGGCACTTAATTAAAAAAGAGACATCAAACTTTTTTGTACTTTCAAATATTTCTAGTTCATTAAGATTTATTTGGAATTAAAGAAAACCCTTTTATATATACCAAAATTACCCACAATTCCTTGAAACTCAATTCAACTACAATTTCATGATTTACACCACAATTTTAGTTCAATTTCACAAATTAACCAATTTTGACCCCAATTTTGACCCACCACCACCGGAGCTCCGGGTCTCTGCGTTGACTTTTTTTTTTTTAATTTTGTTTTTTTGTTCAAAAAATATTTTAATTAATATTATTGTCTTGCTTGTTAAATTACTGTCTCCATCAGTTATTTAACTGTTAATTGACTTTTTCTTTTTTTTTTTGAAATTTTGTTTTTTCTTAAAAAAAAATTATTTTAATTAATATTACTGTTTTGGCTGATAAATTACTGTCTCCAACAGTAATTTAACTGTCTGTGACAGTAATATTACTGTATTAATTAATTTTATCGTCTTTGCCTACATTTTTGTTGTCGTCGACTGTAATATTACTGTCTCCGACCTTAATATTACTGTCTCATGCAATAATATTACTGTTCAGGAAAATAATATTCATAATATTACTGTCCCAAACAGTAATATTACTGTCTGAGACAGTAATTTAGCAGCCAATAAAAAAATACAAAATTAAAAAAAAAAAAAAAAAAAGTTAACGCCGGAATCTGGCTGGAAAAAAAATTATGAAAAAAAAAATCAAAAAAATTATTAAAATGAGGGTTAATGTGATATATTTGTTTAAATATGGGGTCAATGTGTAATATTAAGAAAGTTAGAGTATAATGGATGGAATTGATAAAAAATATATTATGGAGGGTATTTTAGACTAAAGACATGGGATGGGTTTATTTGAAAGACTGTTTTTTTTTTTTTGTGGACCAATGTGCATTTAAATCCCTTGTCATGTACCCTTTTGCTATTTACCCTTAAATTAGAAGAACGAAAAATTACAAGAGGCGACGAGAGGGAAGCCTCCATCGCAAAACAAGATTAAATGAAGCAAATTTAAAGGGACATAACCAACCCAACTACCTAAAACAGCCCAAAGAGCAAGAGTATGGGAAGTTAAATTTGCATTCCTAGAGATGAATTTAAATCTCCGTTTCAGCCACAGTGCCCTGAATACTCGTAGAAACATCAAAACTACTTTAGTTGCACTTTATCCCAGAAGCCAATTTTTGGAGGATATTGTGCAATAAAAAATAATATTTTAAAGGAGCAACGTGCAAAAAAATAGTGTTTTTAAGGGGCAACGTGCAACAAAAATAAGATTTAAAGAGGCAACGTGCAACAAAAATACTCAATTCCAATGAATTATCCATTGGAGTTTTGTTATCGGGTCAATGTGCAACAAGAATGACATTTTGAAGAGGGACATTCACATATAAAAATTTTGAAGAGGGACATTCACATATAAAAATTTTGAAGAGGGACATTCACATATAAAAATTTTGAGGGGGCAAAGTGCAAAAATTAGAAATTTATAGGGGGTGATGTGCAATTTTTCCTTTAATTTAAAATAATTACATGAATATGGGTCTTGTAAAATTGCTTATTCTTCAAATAAATGAATTGGTCAATCACTGCACCTATATAGTAGGTTATTGGTTCTTTATATAATAAAAATGAATTGGTCAACTCAAAAAAATCGGAAAATTGTAGTAGATGGATTCCTGCATTATAAATAATTCTTAGAGGGCGTTTGATAAGCTTATTTTAAAACTCTATAAGTTTTTACATATAATAACTTGTTTTAAGAGTTGGTGAGCTGTTACGTCTTATTTTTTAAATTATTTTTTTAAGTGTTTCAATAATTAGTTTATATGCTATTGTGACTCATTATAAAATCTTAAATAAAAAACTGTAGAGTAGAGGTACTTTTTATTTTTATTTTTTAAAAATCTTAAAAGCCCTCTAAGAACTTATTTTTTTGAATTTTTAAGATTTTTTTGAAAAAAAACACCAAACATTTTTTTTAAAATGATAACAGTTTTTAACAACTTATAAGCTTAGTCAAACGTCGTCTTGATTTAGTCTTTGATATATCAATAAAAAAAATTGTGTTTTTGGGTCAATCTAGATATAGCATAAATCAAATAGATTTTAACCAATTTTACACTCATTCATAAAATTAGATTCATCTAGACATGGCGTGAATTGACTTTTTCCCGAATCAAATGAAGACCGATCAAATTCATAGTATCCAAAAATCCCTTTAATTGTAAATTACATTTTTATTTTTAATTAATATATTTAGTGAATTAAGATGCCCTCCACCAAAGTCAAGTCTAATTAAATATATTACATAACCCACCCTTAACTTTAGTTTGGACTAAAAACTCAACCGAAACTCATGGGCGAGTCTTCTAAGTTGTTGCGGAATTCCTTCATCAAAGTTTGATTTGCAATTTTTCCTTTGTCTTTTTACCTTATTTCGCTCATGGATATATCTAACTCTCGTTTTGAACCTATAAAACACAAACTGCATCAATTAAAACACAAATATAAATTAATCTGAACAATAATCCATGTTAGAGTAAAACATATTGCGAGTAATTTCTACACTCAACAGTTGACGGAATAATTTTGACCTTAAATATATTTATGGTCCAAGACATGTCCCGCAATGATCGCGGACACGCCCGAAGTGTTCATGCACTGACGCACCCACATAGTTCATTAAGATTTTAGCTAACAACAATATAAGGATATCGACAATGAACGTTTCTTTCTAAAAAAAAAAAAAGGAATGTTGGAGTATTTTGGTAAAAGAATGATCCATTATTGAAACCAAAACATGGGGAATAATTTCATCAAGTTCTGTTAGATGAACACTATGTATATACATTGAAAACAAAACAAGTTAACTCAATTTCAATTACGAAAAATATTGGTTTGTATATATCTGGTTTGATCATGTCGATTTGTGATTTTATGTCTCATGTTTATGATCAACGATTAATTGAATAATTGGTCATGAACCACATTTTGCAGTTCACCGTGTCTATTGTTATTGGTTTTAATTCCTGGTTGTTTTTTGGATTGAAAATTTGGTCGATTTGGTAACAGATCACCGATCTTTCATACTCAATTTAGCTAAATTGCACTTTACAAATAAGCCTGGGTACTTATGCATAAAGGGGTCCAAACAAAAATATTTTTTTACAAAAAAATCTATATACTGTCGAGAGGTTTGTAAAAAACTATAATAGCTCCTTACATTTTAATATGCTCAAATTTTATTCTTTAATTTAATCTAACTTCAATTTGACCACAAATTTCACATATTATTCAATTTTGACCCAGTACACAATTTTATGGACAATTTCGCCCGTCGCAGCTGTTGACCGCCGGTCTCCGACGTGGACTTTTTTTCTTCTTATTTCTTCCTGCTTTTTCCGCCGGTCTCCGGCGTTGACATTTTCGAATTTTTTTTTTTGAATTTTTTTTTTCTTTAACATCTTTTTGCCCCATGTTGAAACACCAATATTGTTGTGGTCGACAGTAATATTCACTATATTACTGTTAAACACATAAATATTGCTATATTAATCTCTAGCACAGTAAAATTAACA